CGGGCATCCAGGATGAATTTGATACATATGTGCGTAATGCTGATCTTGAGGACTTCATGCAAGATAAGTGCCCTCAATACTACCATTTAACCGATTCCTTTGTGAGAAGGTTTAAATTTACATCTTTGTGCAATCCACACAATGTCCTGTTTGATCTCTATGATAAATCTTATACAATGAATTTAGAAGATTTTATACTGCTTGTAAACTCCCGCAATGGTGTAGTGCTAGTGAACTTCGCAAATCTGAATTTAAGGATTTCCTTGCTAGTATCACGGTGGGGGAATCCAGAGAAATAGCACAAGCTACCATTGGGAGCATTCATTTTCTTGCTATACATTATGTTTCTCTCTTGATAGGTAGATGCATAAATGGTAAGGACGAGGCATGTCACATGTGTGTCCCTGATCTTGGTATTCTCAGGAGTGCGGTATTAGGAGATAAACAATATAACCTGGGGGCCATCGTTGCACGAAGATTGCATAATAATGGTTCAAATGGAAGTTTGTTTGGTGGAATTTATGCAACCCGTGTGGCTAATTTTCTTGGGATACCCATACATGAAAACGATAGAGAGTTGCTTCCTACTTATTTAGATTATAATGCCATGGTCAGCCATCAGTTTTTAGAGAGGGATGAACAGTCTCTCCAATACCGACTAATCTTTGATAGATGGCGTACTGTCCATATTACTCTCCCTGCTCCTACTTTCTTTGACTTTCACGCAAAAAGGAGATATATTATAACCAGGGAGGAGGAGAAGGAATATGAGAGAAGGACGGAGACAACCCGCCTCCAAGCTACAGCTCGTGAGGCAATGGCTGCTGCATCTCGTATGACCCCAGCTATGACTTTGATCCATGGGCATAGACCAACTTAGGCCAAAAGCCTAAGCTTGGGGGAGTACGTATTTCTCACCGACATCACATTTATGTTCACACACTCACGCTAATTGTCGGTGCCCATACTTTTTCATTGTACTATCCATGCTAGTTTATTTTCTTTTTCTTGCTTTCTTCTTGTGTGTTTAAATAACCTTAAGAAAACCAAAAAATTTGTTAGTTTACTTTCCATTCTTGTAGTAGTAATTAAAATAAAACCCAAAAAGATTTCTCGTTCTTCTTTTGGTTGTTGGGAGCTTTCCCGTCTAAATACTTTTATTTCTTTCCTTTTGTTTGGATGGTCGAGAGGACAAGACCATAATGAAAATGTTGAGTGGCTCTTATATGCATTATTGTTAGTTTAATCAAGAGCCCATATTACCTTGTCCTCTCCTTTGAATTGAATGCTTGCATATTGCAGCTTAGTCCAATGCACATGCACTATTATTATTATCCACACCATTTGGTCGTGCAAGTGAAGGGCAATAATGACGATATAAGATGGACTGATTGAGATGAGAGAAGTTGGTATGAACTCGACCTATCTTGTTTTTGTAAATATGATTAGTTCATCGTTCTTGATTCAGCCTATTATGAATAAACATGTTTGCAATGACAATTAGACATTATAATTGCTTATGCCATGCTTAATTTGCTAGGAGTTTATAATGGTTTACCTTGCGTGCCGACATGCTTTTAAAATGGTTGTGATGTGGTATGATAGGGTGGTATCCTTCTTTGAATGATTCGACTGACTTTACTTGGCACATGTTCGCACATGTAGTTGAAACAAAATCAGCATAGCCTTCACAATATTTATGTTCATGGTGGATTATATCCTACTCATGCTTGCACTCAGTGTCTATTAATTTTAATGCATGTTTATGACTGTTGTCGCTCTCTAGTTGGTCGCTTCCCAGTCTCTTTCTAGCATTCACTTGTACTAAGCGGAAATACTGCTTGTGCATCCAAAATCCATAAACCCCAAAGTTATTCCATATGAGTCCATCATAGCTTCCTATATGCGGTATCTACCTGCCGTTCCAAGTAAATTTGTATGTGCCAAACTCCAAACCTTCAAATGAAATTCTGTTTTGTATGCTCGAACAACTCATGTATCAACTAGGGTTGTCTGTATCTTCCATGTTATGTGGGTTATTCTCAAGAGGAGTGGACACCGCTCCTCATTCATGAGAAAATGGCTGGTCATCGGGATGCCCAGTCCCATGCTCAAATCAAACAAAAATAATTGCAAACAAAACTCCCCCAGGATTGTTGTTGGTTGGAGGCACCCGTTGTTTCGGGCAAGCCATGGATTGACGCTTGTTGGTGGTGGGGGAGTATAAACTTTACCATTCTGTTTGGGAACCGTCTATAATGTGTGTAGCATGGAAGATATCGAGAACTCTTGGTTGTTATGTTGACAGTGAAAGTATGCCACCCAAAATATTATTTATCTCTGTTTCAAAATCGAGCTCTGGCACCTTTACAAATCCCTGGTTCCCTCTACGAAGGGCTTATCTATTTACTTTTATGTTGAGGCATCACCCTCTTATTAAAAAGCACCCGCTGGAGAGCACCGCTGTCATTTGCATGTATTAGTATTAATTTATATTGGGTATGACTATGACTGGATCTCTGTTACCATGAATTACAATGTTTAGTCAGTCCTTAGTCTTTAAAGGTGCTCTGCATTTATGTTTTGCGGTCTCAGAAAGGGCTAGCGAGATACCATCTTGTTATATCATATTATGATTGTTTTGAAAAAGTGTTGTCATCCGAGTTTTATTATTATTGCTCGCTAGTTGATTATGCCATTGATATGAGTAAACATGAGACCTAAGTGCTGTTTTGAATACGGTTAGTTCATAATCTTGCTGAAAACTTGAATGCTAGTTTTACATATTTACAACAACAAGAGCAAACAGAGTTTGTAAAAGTTTTTCTTTATCACTTTCAGTTTATCAACTGAATTGCTTGGGGACAAGAAAAGGTTTAAGCTTGGGGGAGTTGATACGTCTTCGTCGTATCTACTTTTCCAAACACGTTTGTCCTTGTTTTAGACTCTAACTACCGCACACCCCTCGACTGTTCGTGGGCCGGCCCGTGTCGGACGCATCATACAGATGAAAATCGCTAAAAAAAAAGTAAAGAGAGGGAGGATTCGAACCTCAAACCTCCGACTTCTAGAGATTCGAGTCTAACCACTCGACCATAACAACACTAGTGCTCTATAAGTGCAAAGAGCTCTGCTATGTTTCTTTGTTACACGTTTCTTCGTTTTTCGTTTTCCTGTTTCTTTCTTTCTTTTATTTTTGCTTTAGAAATATCGCAACTTCAAAAAAGTTCAATATATTCAATACTTTATTCGCCTTTTTATAAAAAATGTTTCATTTTTTTGTTCAGGTTTCAAATAACATTCCGTTCTTTTCAAAAAATGTAAAAAATTTGTTCGTGTTTCAAAATGTGTCCGGTGTTTTAAAATTTGTTCGTGACTTTCAGAAAATGTTCAGGTTTTCAAATTTGTTCAGATTTTCAAAAAGTTTTGGAATTTCACATTTGTTCCCTTTCTTAAAATTTTCTCGTGATTTTCAAAAAATGTTCGTGTTTTCAAATGTGTTCAAACTTTCAAAATAGCTTTGGAATTTCACATTTGTTCCCAATTTTCGAAAACTGTTCGTGCTTTCCAAAAATTATTCGCATTTTCAAAAAATGTTCACGTTTCAAAATTTGGATAGACATTTTAATTTTTTTGAAATGTTTGTGGTTATAAACTTGTGTTCATACTTTCATGAAATTTTCCATTTTTATTTTTTTTGTTCAACAATTCAAAAAATGTTAGCTGTTTGAATTTTTGTTTGGAATATGATGAAATGTTCCATTTTTCAAATTTTTGTTGAAAAATTCAAAAAATGTTTGCGGTTTCAAATTTGTTTGGAATTTCATAATTTCTTCACAAATTCAAAAAATGTTCATGGTTACAAATTTCTTTGGAATTTCATAATTAGTTCACACGGTTTCAAATTTGTTCAGAATTTCATAATTTGTTCACAAATTCAAAAAATTGTTCACATTATCACAAAAATAATTTCTGACTTTTCAGTTTTTTTGTTCACATATTCGAAAAACGTTCTTGTCTCTATTTTTTCACGAATTCAGAAAATGTGCGCACTTTTCTAAAGAGACACATTCAAAGAAACTATACTTTAGAACAAATCAATACAACAAGTAATTTTGGGTTCACTGCAGTAATTGGTTCTTGTTAGCTACAGCGCACAAGTCAGGTTTAATTCTTTAACACATGCGCTGCACTTTAACCAACTCCGCTAGTCTTTTCTGTTGGCGACGTGTGTGCGGTCGCTAGCACTTGGTCACAAGTTCGAATCTATTTTTGCCATTTTTTCATCATCTCGCAGTATGACATACTGAGATAAACGAAAGGAATCCTCCATGCCTTTGCACGAGAATTCGTTACACATGTGGACAGACGCACGCATGCACAGGTACAATTTTCACCCACCCCATACACGATACTCCGTAGGTGCTGGTACTGGCCTCCAAGACCTTATTTAGTTCATGCGTAGCAGAAGAGTGTCGGCGAGGAGATTACGAGTTGACCTTGGAGCAGACGAGCCTGATCTGCCCCTGCGTCCCTGTCTTGGGCGCGATGTTCCCCATGTTTATCATGGCCGTCGTGAAGGCGCTGTTGAACGTCGCGGCGCTGGACGAGAAGCTCCTGACCGTGTTGTCGGCGCCGCCTCCGTTGAACAGCACCTGGTCCGAGTGCAGCAGCCCCTTTTGGGACATGAGGTTGGTGTAGTAGGCGTTGTCGAACCCGTTGGGCGTGCCAGTGTCCAGCGGCGCCAGGCTGTTATCGCCGCCGGACCGGGGGCAGTTGGCTCTGAGAGATGTCGCGAAGGCAGTGTCGATGTTGGTCTCGTTGTAGATCCTGTCCCTGAAGAACCGGCACTGCGATTGCCCGATCGTGTGGGCGCCTGCAGATAGATCGAGATCACAGAACAAGGTCACGGCATATTTCTCGTAGATCCTGTCAGAATAGCTCTTGCTAGTCTTTGTCGTAAAGTTTGAGATGAGAAAAAGCATATTAGCAGTGTGTACCTGAGAGCGCGACCATGTCTGTCATGCTGAGCTGCTTGTTGCCGAACAAGGTGGTGAGGTTTTGGAGGTCGAAGGTAGGAGGTGGCAGGTCATTTTCCGCGTTAGTCTTGCTTGCAGTGGTGGAGTCCCTCCTCCCGAGAAGAACTGTCCATGTCGGCCCACCCAGCTGCTTGGTATGCCCAGAATTAGTTCCAAACCACAGTTTAAGAAAGTAGTAGTACTAGCAATAGCATGTGCAAGACATGCATGAGAGCTGTAATTGCCAAGCTTACCGCGACGACGGAGTCACGGGCAGCGACGGCGAGGATGTCGGCGCAGGAGACGGTCTGCTTGCACACGGCCTCCACCTGGGTCTTGATGTTGTCGATGACGTTCATGCCTCGAATGGAATTGTTGTTCGGGGCTGCCCCCTGCTCGCCGATGAAGCTCCCCGTGTCCGCCAATAGAACGGACCCGTCACATCCCTGGAAACAAATTCAGAAACACTATCATTTGACAGTTTTTTTTACAGCGTGACTGTCTAATACTCGCAACTGAGTAAGGTTATGGGACTTGCATCGACGAAGCAGTCGTGGAAGTGCAGCCGCACCAGCGACGCCCCCATGCGGGCCTCGTTTTGCACGGCGGCCGTCACGCCGGCCTTGATGGTGGCCAGCGCGTTGGGGCAAGACGTGTCGTAGAACGTCGACGACAGCTGCGCCGACGCCGCCGAGGCCATTGCCACGAGCACCACTAAGCCAAGGCAAGAGGCAGAGGCCATCGCTACTACTCTAGCGACTAGCTAGTGTAATATACCACAATGTTAAGTGGTGCCTCTGCCTCACACTTTTCTTTGGTTTGGCCGTGGCTTGCAAGAGAACAATACCAGCCCTGGACATATATATAGCCGGCAGAGGTTGTGGAGCCACGGGCGCCCGTGGCTAAAACCTCCAAAATTTGTGCCTAACTCGTCCATAGAGACAATACTAGCGGACATGTTGGCAATCATTGCCCTGGAGAAAGGATACCCCACAAACGAATACTATTCGAACGCTTAGCATGGAACGTTCTCACATCGATTTGATTACCAGTTTGGTACAGCGTATTCGACATAAACAAATTTATTCGGCCAACAGCGACGATCTGCATTATTGGCGCAAGAAATTTTGCTGCATATTCCCTCAGTGTGAGCCTGCATGATTGCATATGGGTCAGTTCGATCGGGCCTTATCATAGTATTTCTTAGACGAAGACATGCACACACCAGTGGCATATCATATCTCTGCCGAATACTTACCCCACATGTGACATGTGGTTTGTCTCTGAACGTGTGGCAGTTTAATCCATGGGTCAGTTTAATCCTCATTTTCAAAATCAACAACTGTTCAGTAGAGCTAGTTAGCCAAGATGATAACACGAGCCGCCCCCTTCTCCCACTAATTCGGACGTAACTACGTGAGTATAGTACATATGGTCCAGATAATTACTAGCTAGTGTTCTTTCGCTGCACCATGGACCAAATTCCATGGACGCATGCACCCCACAATACAGACTGGAAAAGGTGCCGGCGCAATGGCCGGCGCGTCTACTTCAGGCAGTAAATTTCGCAGGTGACCACCAGCTCACCGTCATGCGGTTTCTTACTTGCCGGTACTCGAGACGCACAGACAGTATGGTCCTGAACTACAGTATTTAGTAGACCACTGGAGTGTCATGTTAAATGGACATACGATAAGGTATCTCATTCTCATGGCGAAACTACTCTGCGGACGACAGTTGACCGTAAGAACATTGGACGATGAAAGAATTAACGGTGCTATCCAGTGTTTGATATATGCATGGACGGCTTGATGTACTGTGTCGTCTGAAAATCGTTATAGTAATCGTCTGAAAATCGTTAAATGCACATACGATAGGGTATCTCATTCTCATGGGCGTGCGTTGGGCGCACTCGTGTGGATCTATGTGCGTCAGTCGTCCACCTCTAAAATTTGTCTCTTGGTCAAAAAATGCAATACTACTACTTGTACAACGTTGGTCCACTACTGGTCTACTATGGCCTACGGGTTCGCCTCGTGTGGAACTTGTGTAGGAGTGGCTAGCTGGAGGACGAAATAGTAGTCCGAAAGGGCCAGCTCATTTGGACTGGTTTCGTGGGAAGGTCGGTATGAGTCCAAGACATTTCTGCCATGGTCTGACCGTTGTGCGGTCCCTTTCCATTAGGAGCCAGTGCTAGCTTAATCTTCGCTTAGCTTGACATGATGCGAACGTTGTCTCTGTTTTTTTAATCAAAACATATAGTTATTGGCACTTGGCCCAACTAGCTCTGGTAATGACATCTCATGGTTACATTTGTGTGGGAAAGGTGGAGAGCTCAGGGATTATGGGCCGTTGGATTGTCTGACCAAATGAGTGATAGCTGTTGGATCGAGTAATGCTACACTAACGGACTTTTACAGGGGTTTTACATGGTTAGTTCCAGTTGGCAAAACGTGATTGGATAAGGGGCCGGGAGGGAGGGACCCGACACCATCTGAAAATCAGGGGGGGCCAGTTTAGATAGATGGAAGGAGTCTGTAAACGTCTGTATGGGGTCCGTGTGTTTAGCATTATCGTTGTTGGATCTCGGGTACGATTGGTCCAAGCCGTTGCATTGAACCGAGATTGAAATGATGAACAATACATTTTTTTTCTCACCTTCGGTCTGCTGTGTTGTCTCGCTGGCGTGTGGGGCACGATGTTAATGGGGCTCATCTGCCATCCGATGAGGTTGCAGGCACACAATGTATGCATTATGCGGTAGAAATCTGCAGCCGCGCCCGCGGTTTCTAGATCCTGCCGAGGGCATGGTGGAGTTCCGCGTGCTGGGTGTGTGTGTGGTGTGGTGTGGTGTGCATGCATGGTTGGGGGACAGATAGGGACGAGGAGGGCGTGTACTTATCTACTTCCGACTCCTCACTTTGTCTGATGGGTGAGAACCCTAGCCGCCACTCCCCGTCACCCTCCCCCCTCCTCCTTGTTCAGTCCTTGCAGCTGTCGTTCCCCCTTCCTCCTCTCCTCCCCATTCCACTCCCATCGCTAAGCTCACCGCCGCCAATAATCTTCCCATAGAGCTCGCCCCTCACCGCCATTAAGGAAACAATATGCATGCACTCGCGTTGTTGATTCAAACAGAGGAGCATGCCATCGAGACGACCACTATTTAAAATTTGGATATATTTGGCCATATTGTTACTCAGAAACACAATGCAAACACAAACACTCACATGCATTCACCATTATTTGAGATTGACAAAATCACCACAACGCCTTCTCACTAGTAGAAAAAGGGTCATTTGTCCCGGTTCGTAAGGGCCTTCTGTCCCGGTTTAGGAACCGGGACTAAAAGGTCGTTACTAATGCCCTTGGCCTTTAGTCCCGGTTCTTACACGAACCGAGACAGATGGGCCTCCACGTGGCCGCTGCGGCCAGCCCAGGCAGGGGGGCCTTTGGTCCCGGTTAGTGACATAAACCGGGACCAAAAGGCATCCACGCATCAGCAACTGACTGGAGCTGAGGGTTTTTTTTTGAAAGGGGCTGGTTTAGGGGTTTTGGGGGTTAATTTAGGTTGTTATTAGCTAGCTAATAGAGAGGAGTGTCCTCTCTTATATCTCCGTGCTTGGTTTACCAACGCTACTGCTATGTTCATTTCACCCGCTGATATATAATAACTCTTCATGCTCGCATCATGCATCATCATATATAATAACAAGTCCTACTAATCATGAATCATCATACAACTTCCATTCGTTATTAATAACAAGTCATACGATCATCATCCTCATAGTCATCAAATAAACCCTACTTAATTGTTCTTAGCACATGATCATCAGTATTAGGTAGGACCTAAATACCCTTAAGATAAAATAGCATAAAACAATATAGACCCTGACTCTCCATTATGGAGAATGGAGATCATCCTGTCTCCAATTCTTGCGCTTCGCTTCCTTTTGCTTCCAAGAACCTCCTTACGACTGTCCATACATTTTTTCCATTCTTTGATTATCATGTCTCCACTTTTTTTAGAGATCCGGTATGGACAGTTGAGATTCGTAGGATGACCTAGTTGTATGTTCAAAACATCAAGGCGACCGTGCTGATACATCAGATGAGGCACACAATCATTCGGGATTATCTGTTGAAAAACATAGTAATAACTTCGTAGTTAGCAATGATGTACTAGTTTTAGAAGTATGCAAAAGATGCACAGATGTCGTAACAATAAAAAATCTTACCAAGGTATCTCCATAGTAGTTACCGTAGCTCAACACGTGCACTAGTGGCACGTATTGACCATAATGTTGAGGAGTTCGATTGTAGATATTATAATTCTCAAGATCAGTACAAAATGCGATCAGATGATTTTTCTCCTGATAAGTTAATTTGGAGCCATTGATGTAGTGGGTTTTGTCTACCATCTTCCGCACATTCTTTGAAGAATGAAAATAAGCTATTAATGAAAATAAGTTGTCAACTATTTTGAAATAACCAATATAAATTACTTAATAACTATGTTTGAGAAGCTCACATAGGGGAAGAATTGGAAGCGTATCAACAAGGACCCAAATGTTCATATTGTCTTGCTCGATTTTAGGATCACCAAGATCCATGGTGACAAGCATACCCTCATCAAAACCATACACCTTGCAAAGTGCTTCCCAATTTTTGCAACCAAAATGGGTTACACTCTCAGAATTGTACAACTTTACTTCAAAATCCACACCACGATGGGTCCTTAGGTCAATTTTCTTTGTTTCCATACTTTCATGGTCTTCAAAACCCATCCTCTCCAAGACATAGCGCCTTGCATAGCATGGGATAAGCTAGTCGAATTGGAAAAGATGAAAAGTACACGTTCAAATAGTTGAAGTCATGCTTAATTACAAAAAAAACTCTTGTCGTCGTTGCGTACCGTTTCAACATCGAAGATCTCCTCGAGCTTAATGCTGAAGCACCGATCCTCGTCCAGCTCAAGAACCTGTCACACATACCTCGGTCGTCGTGGCACCAGTCGCACTCCCCCGGGCGATTTTCATCATCCGAGTACGACATTTCCTATGTTCATAATTCAAATATTAAACTTGCCTCAGGACTCATATTGTAGGACTCATATTGACATGGAGATTTGGCTGGTCTCACCTCGAGGTTAGAGGGGGCTCGTTGACGGGGACGACGGTGCGGATGATGGAGGGGGCTCCTAGATTTCTGTAATAAAAATCCTATAAGCTGTCAAGTAATCAAATGCATACGCCTTGCATAGTGCTCTCCAATTTTAGCATTCAAAGTAGGAGTACTTTTCCAATTTGAGCATTCAATAAGCAAAACTAAATCGTAAAATAAAGTAGTATTCAAATTAGCATGCATTTAATTATAAGCAAAACTACATCATCTCTTGTGTCCGTACATCATCGAATATTATCACTAATAATCCTCGAATACTATCAGACATATAACATCGCTAATACAGCTAGAACCGTAGCGCCCGACGGGTATCGTCGCGGGCGGTGGACACCCAAAGAGAAGGAACCATCACAGGATCATAACTCCAGTGAGATCCCTGAAGAACTTGCCAGGTATTGTCGAACCTGCCCTCCAACGCAACCATGTAGCGACGGACGTGCTCGTCCTCCTCGCCGACACGGTGACGTACCACCTCCGTGGTGTCCGGAAGCCTCGGCACCGTCACTGGCCCACGCGACCGCCATCAAATAAGGATCGGGTCAACGACGGGCTGGCTCCTAA